AAAAATAAATAAAAATACAAATAATATTACACATAAACAATTAAATAAAAATAATTAATTATATAACATATATAATAATTATATTATAAACATGACATCATAATTATAATTTTTTTTATCATGAATATTCATCCCTCTCTTTAAGGAAAGTATTAATGAAAAAAAAATTTCTTCGCATTAGAAGCCTCTTCATTTTCACCGGCAAGTCTAGACTGGACTGACTGTTTCTCCGATCGTTGCTTCGCCGGTTTCCTCTTGTTCCATCGTCCACTTTGTGATTTGAACTCCATTTTTGCTTTTCAGTGTCTCTGTTAGGTTACTGTTTTTATTAAGCTTGTTTGGGGTTTTCTGTTAGATGATTAGTTAACGTTTTGAACTATGCTAATTTGATCTATGGTTAGACTTGGCAAACGAGGGGGTCGGGCCGGGTCGGGTTAGAGTCAGGTTAGAACGGGTTACGGGTCAAAACGGGTTGGGTTAAAACGGGTCACGGGTCAATAAAGGTTAACCCTAACCCGCCCATCACAGGTCACGGGTAAACCCACGAGTTGACCCAATTAAATATTTTTTTCTTTTTTTCTCTGTAATTTGTACCTATTACAATTTAAATTATTTTGGATGCTTGATTGGTTTCACAATCCAAAAATTAACATTCAAATACCAAATTTCATATAAACTAGTTAAGAAGATACAAGTAGGTCACAGTTGTCCAAAAAAGGCTGCCAAGTAACAATCACGACTTCGGAATAGAAAAGAAAAGAAAATTCACAAAGTTTATAATGCCAATTGCCAATGTTGTCCAAAAATAGTAGGCTATCAACCAAGTACTAACTAGAACTAGGTAATTACCAAATATTGAGAAAATAAAAGTCCACCAATTAACAACTCCCAAGTGCAAATATAGGAGACAAAGACAAGTTGGTGGGAGAATAAACAGGCTACCAAGTACCAAAACTGTCCAACCTAAGTGTGCCCCTGAACAAAAAAAATTAATATGGTTATAAACTAGAAGGATGTTAAGAAACTGATAATAACATTTGCCAAACAAAATTTAATGTCGAAAAAAAAAACTCATTGTTGAAAATATGAAATTTTGAGCTTTTTGATACTTTAAGTTAATAAAAGTTACCTCAAGAGGTATCTTCTTCACCTTCCAAAATGGTAAAAGTTTGTCCTTGAGATGGTCCTACTCTTCCAAGCTTATTAGTAGGAGGAGGAGAAGTCATACTTATATTGTCCAAATCTAAATGAAATTTACGTCCTATCTCCTCACCTTCAACATCTGCTTTTAAAGAAATCAATATACATGATTAAAATTAGTCATTCTTAATCCAATCATCTTTAATTGCAAATTGAAAATAGGTAGATTTAATGAACAAAAACAAAAGAAGCATATTACCTTCCTTTCCAAATGCATCCAACCAAGTTTGAGTTGTAAGCAAAGCTTCTGCATTTTGAGGTAAAAGAGATCCCCTCAATTTGCTTATAATTCTTCCACCCATACTAAATGCAGATTCAGAAGCTACCGTGGCAATTGGAATTGTTAGGATGTCTCTGGCCATCCTAGACAAGTTAGGAAGACATTTCTCGTTACTAGACCAATAAGCAAGAACATCCAAATCTTACTCTAAAGCAAGCCTTCCCTCCTCCAAATATTGTCGTAATTCAGATGTATGAACCTTTTCCACATTGAAACTTTGAAAACCCTACATTAAATAGGAGCCAACAAATCATAAAATAGCAGA